GCAAACGGAGACCGAAGAACGCAACTTGGAAAGGCCAGGCGGAGAAAGAGACGGAGACAAAAGGAGAATAAATATCTGCTCTGGAAGGGAACCTGACGTTTATGAGCACCGAGCGAAAACATTATCTGGCTATTTTATAGCATTGGGAGGGCGATTGGAATGTATAAGGGACTTGAACTACCAAAGATAACTCTTGCCTCCCAGAAGTAATTACAGGAGACAAGAGCTCAATGGTGCTTCGGAGATGTCTGGAGTTCGGAAGCTATTCGTGCGGAAAGCAAAAAGTCGTGTCTCGCTTAGGAAAGATGAGTCTTACACAAAATGAATTCCACAATCCACTAGTCCATGAAAACAAACCCAACGGTCATCTAGCCCGCGAAAACCAACCCAACCCTCATCTGGTCCATTAAAACCAACCCAATGGTCATGGAGTCCATGAAAACCAACCCAACGGTCATCTAGTCCATTAAAACCAACCCAATGGTCATGGAGTCCATGAAAACCAACCCAACGGTCATCTAGTCCGCAAAAACCAACCCAACACTCATCTAGTCCATTAAAATCAACCCAATGGTCATGGAGTCCATGAAAAACCAACCCAAGGATCATCTAGTCCGCGAAAACCAACCCAACAATCATCTAGTCCATGAAAACCAAACCAACTGTCATCTAGTCTATGAAAACCAACCCAAAGGCCCTCCAGTCCACGAAAACCAACCCAATGGTCATCTAATCCAAGAAAACCAACCCAATGGTCATCTAGTCCACGAAAACCAACCCAGGTAGTTTGCCCCCAACCCAATGGTCATCTAATCCAAGAAAACCAACCCAATGGTCATCTAGTCCACGAAAACCAACCCAACAATCATCTAGTCCACGAAAACCAAACCAACTGTCATCTAGTCTATGAAAACCAACCCAAAGGCCATCTAGTCCACGAAAATCAACCCAGGTAGTTTGTCCCCAACCCAATGGTCATCTAATCCAAGAAAACCAACCCAATGGTAACCTAATCCAAGAAAACCAACCCAATGGTCATCTAGTCCACAAAAACCATCTCAACAGTCATCTAGTCCACAAAAACCAACCCAATGGTGATCTATTCCAAGAAAACCAACCCAATGGTCATCTAGCTCACGAAAACCAACCCAGGCAGTTTGCCCCATTGCCAGACTGCTCTCACAATCAACAAGTTCTTTAAATAAGGCACCCAGAACGGAACTCAGTGACTCCAAGTGAGCTCTGAATAGCACAGGAAATAGTTTGGACTAAATCCTGGAACAGATCCGATGTCACAGTGACATTCACACTGAAGGAAAGATTGTTGTGGAGATTGACTGCAGAAGGAGCTAGAGATTCCCAGGCAAACCATGTAGAATGGATGCAGTTTGGCATCGTTTTAACTGCTGTTGGCTCCATGCTACGAAATGATAGGAATTGAAGTTCCCCAAGGCCCTTTGTCTTCTCTGCCAAGGGGAACTGATGCCTAACCAAACCACAACTCTTGGGATATCATAGCATTGAGCCAAGGCAGTGAAAGGGGTGTCAAACTGCAATCATTCTACAGTGTAGATGCATCCCATGTATGATGTGTATATACTGTGTGCATGTGTATATGTGTGTGTGTGTGTTTTGGAAAGCATAGATAAGTGGCGCAGTGGGTTTTAAACCCCTGTACCGGAAGGACTGCAGACCCGACAGGTCCCAGTTCGAATCCGGGGAGAGGCGGATGAGCTCCCTCTACCAGCTCCAGCTCCTCATGCGGGGACATGAGAGAAGCCTCCCACAAGGATGATAAAAACATCAAATCATCCGGGCGTACCCTGGGCAGTGTCCTTGCAGACGGCCAATTCTCTTACACCAGAGGTGACTTGCAGATTCTCAAGTCTCTCCTGACACGACAAATATATATACACACACACACATACTGGCAGCCCCTGAGTTACAAACAACCAACATATATCTACATCCAAATCTATATTTGCGTGTGTATGAGTTGGATAGCATAGGGATGTGTGTGTGTATACACATATATGTACACATGCACACACACATTTTAGATAGCATAGGGAAGGGTTAATATATATATATATATATACACACACACACATATATATAGACATATGTTTTGGATAGCATAGGGAAGGGTAAACATAGATGTGTATATATATATATATATACACACACACACACACATATACACACACACACATATATAATTGTATATACATGTATTATTATACATATATGTGTGTGTGTTTTGGATAGAATAGGGAATGGTGTGTATATACGTGTGTGTGTGTGTGTGTGTGTATATATAGGGTTTTGGATAGCATGGGATATATATTTGGCTGGAGTTACACCACATCTGTATTTGTGTATGTGTGTGTGTGTGTTGGATAGCATAGGGATGTGTGTGTGTGTGTATACACACACACACACATATGTACACACACACACACACACACATTTTAGATAGCATAGGGAAGGGTAAACTAAGATGTGTGTGTGTATATATATATATATACACACACACACACGCACACGCACACACATATAATTTTATATACATGTATTATTATACATATATGTGTGTGGTGTTTTGGGTAGAATAGGGAATGGGGTGTGTGTGTGTGTGTGTGTGTGTGTGTGTGTGTGTGTGTGTTTTGGATAGCATGGGGATATATATTTGGCTGGAGTTACACCTAAAAATGTACCCGTTCCAAATTACATACAAATTCAAGTTAAGGACAAACCTTAACTTGGGGACAGCCAGAACTTTTTTAAAACGTCTACGGCAGATGTAGAGACGTTCACCCTCCTCCCCTCTTTATGTGCGGCATTTTTCCCTCTGCAATAATGGAAGAGCCCAAGGGGCCGAGCCTTTAATATAATCTAATAAACTTTGCTAAGTGAACACAGTAACCGACATGGCTGAACGGGAGCTGGGTAAATGCCAGTCGATTCCCCCCTGATCTTTATCGGCCTGAAAGCCGATGCAATTTCAGAAGGAAGAAAATTAGATTGAGGGAAGAACAGCACAGGATGCGGGCCTGGAGCCGGTCTGCCATTCAAGGGAATCATTTCAGAAGAATCCCAAAGAGGAACGGAAAGGCAGAATTCCTACTATATTCCATTTAAGATCCGAGGAAGAAATCATTAAACACCAAGCAGGGACACTTCTTGTGGAAAGTCACTTATTGCTTATTCTATCACCAAATCCAACCCACCCCCATCTACCAGGACATCATGAAAGCCCTCCCAACAGATGACCATCCAGCCATAGATAGGTATAACTGTGAGAGAGATGTGATAGGTATATTTCTGTGTACAAACCCACACGATCTCTTCGATCATCTGGAGAGGCCCTGCTCGCGCTCCTGCCTCCACAAGCGTGATTGGTGGGGACGAGGGAAAGGGCCTTCTTGGTGGTGGCCCCCTGACTCTGGAACTCACTTCCCAAGGACATCAGGCATGCCCCAACATTGGCAGTCTTTAGGAGGAGCCTGAAAACGTGGCTGTTTCAGTGTGCCTTCCCAGAATAAGGAAAATTCCCAGCAATATGTCCTCAGAATGCACTTTACTACTGGTTTAGGATTGACTGCATTCCCTCATCTCTTTTTAAAACCCTATACCAGATATATCCTACCTCGTTCATGCCCAGCGTTTATTTTTTAAATTTCTAAACTATTACATTTGGCTCGGCCACAGGTTTTTAAATCCTTGTGTGTTACTGTTTATTGGTTATTGTTTATATGTGTTTTATATTAATTGTATTGTATTTATTGTTTTTGTTTATTGCTTTTGTTTTTATTGATGTGTTGTTGGGTTTGGCCTCATGTAAGCCGCTCCAAGTCCTTTGGGGAGATGGTGGCGGGGTATAAATAAAGATTATTATTATTATCATCATCATCATCATCATCATCATCATCGTCATAGAATTGGAGCAGACCGCATGGGCCATCCATTCCAACCCCATTCTGCCTTCATACAGGAAGAGCACCATCAAAGCCCCCCCAACAGATGTCCATCCAGCCTCTGTTTAAGAGCCTCCAATGGACTCCAGGGGCAGAGTGTTCCACTACTGGATAGCTCTAAGGGTCTGGAAGTTTTTCCTAATGTTCAGGTGGAATCTCCTTTCCTGTTATTGGAACCATTGTGTGATGGCGCGAGTGGCGCCACCTATGTGTAGAACTGTTAGTTGCAAGATTTAAACTGTTGTATTATGCTTAATCCTGCCCTTTTACCCTGCTTATGTATAGTTGTATGGATTGGTTACTTATAGCTGTCAATCAGTACTGTTTGGCTCCACCTCTTCCTGCAAGAGGGGAGAACTTCCTTTTTCTTTTCATTCTGCCATCAGAGTTTCTACCAGATGGACGTGAGTAAGAGACTTGACTCTAAAAGACCCTGATTTAAATTACCTCTCAGCACCAGTTCTGAGGTTTTTTACCCTTGAGAGTTATGCTTCATGTTCAGACCAACCTGAGCGACGTTGGAAGTCTCAAGCGCCTTCAAACTGGTTCTTTTGGCACTAAAGGAAGATCCTGAGTCTTCAAACATAGGGCATCTGAACTGGGGTTGTGGTTTGCTCCGGCATTCACAGCCATTGAGGAAAGAGGAAACTTGGAAAGGCATCTCAGCTTCAAACACCTTGGACCCAGGACTAACTGAGACTGTAACCTATATTTTCCTTCACCCCTCTGAAGTTTCCAGCTCATTGCTTTAAAGAAATTACTCTTTGTGATCAATAAAACTTATTTTGAGTTATTTACAGCGTTTTGGGTTTTTGAGAGTTCTAGTTTCCTATAGGAGGGCAAGAAGCAATCCCCTGGGGAAAGATGCCACGTCCATCCCTCCTTCATTATAATAATAATAGCCCCCAGGCGCGACGGCACACATTGCTTCATATTCTAGTCTCCAATGGGCCCTGGATGCCATGCTAAGCAGCATCAAAACATCACTCTTCTCCATCACATCTTGCAAGAAGCCTCCCTTACCTTGGAAGACGGCCGCGTTCTGCATGATGAGGAACTTCAGTTCCATGCTGGCCGATTGTAGGAGTTGCTCCATGTTGGTACGAGCCAAGGCTTGGTATTTCTCCTCCATTTTCCTGGAGCAGCAAGTTGGACCTTTCGGGAGGCATACTTGCAAATCCGTCCCTGCAAGAGGAACAAATCCGGACAAACGCAATAAGCACCAGAATTAAATCTCAAAAATAAAATAGAAAAGAATGTATCTCATTCCCACCATGTGTCTTTTATGGAATTTCCAGAGCCTTAAGCTAAATCTATATTGCCATGTAATGCTGCTCAAATTATGTATATGGATGGTGTAGTAGACACATAGAAGATGGTTTTGAAAGACAAAAGATTACAGGAGCTGTCTTCATAGACTTGTCAGTAGCTTATGATACTGGAAATCATCACCTCCTCCTGGAAAAAAATGTATAATATCACAAAGGATTACCATCTCACCCGATTCAAAGGAAATCTGCTACAAAACAGGAGCTTTTTTGTTGAGTTTCAGGTGCAGAGAAGCAGATGGCGAAAACAGAAGAACGGCCTGCCTCACGGGAGCGTGCTTGCTCCATCCACGTTCAACATCTACACAAATGACCAGCCACTGCCAGAAGGGACAGAGAGTTTCATCTATGCTGATGATTGTGCCATCACCGCCCAAGGAGGGAACTTTGAAATGATTGAACAGAAGCTCTCTGAAGCTTTAGGTGCTCTTACTGCCTATTACAGGGAAAGCCAGCTGATTCCTAATCCATCTAAAACACAGATGTGTGCTTTTCATCTTAAGAACAGGCAAGCATCTCAAGGATGACATGGGAAAGAATCCCACTGTAGCATTGCAGCACACCCAAATACCTGGGAGTCACTCTGGACTTACAAGAAGCATTGCTTGACTATCAAGCAAAAAGTGGGTGCTAGAAATAACATCATACAAAAGCTAACTGGCACAACCTAGGGATCACAATCAGATATAATGAAGACATCTACCCTTGTAAATATGTAATTGTCCTATTATAATGAGCTTAAGTACAGATACCAGTTTAAGTAACTTTCATAGTACATACAGGACACACTTTAATAGTGCAACAAACACAATAATTACAGAGGTAAAATAGATCAATTCCAGTCTGTCCACAAGGTTTTCAAAAAATATTCATGAGGTGTTCCACAAACTTGGGAATATAGCTCACGTTGAATATATCAAACTTAGAAACAATTCATGTTGTGTTCAGCAAACTTGGGAATATTCCTAAGTTTACGGAACACTACGGTGTCAGGCCCGTAGCCAGGATTTTGTTTCGGGGGAGGGGGGGCTGAGTTTGGTTGGGGGGGGCTAAGTCTGAGTGGAAGAGGGTCTAGCCTAGCAAACCTTTTGTATCGTTACCCCAATACCCCCATGTATATGGGATATATTGAGCATGGTGATCAGATCATGATATGAATACACATAACAGTTTAAATAATGTACCAGTAAGGCCTTCTCACGGACCACCATGAGAATTGGGGGGGGCTGAAGCCCCCCAAGCCCCCCTAGCCCCCCCCCCCAGCTACATGCCTGTACGGTGTATTCCCAAGTTTGTTGAACACAACATGAATTGTTTCTAAGTTTGATATATTCAACGTGAACTATATTCCCAAGTTTGTGGAACACCTCATGAATATTTTTTTGAAAACCTTGTGGACAGACTGAAATTGATCTATTTTTACCTATGTAATTATTTAGTAAATTATATATATTGTGTTTGTTGCACTATTAAAGTGTGTCCTGTATGTACTATGAAAGTTACTTAAACTGGTATCTGTACTTAAGCTCATTATAATAGAACAATTACATATCTGTGTTATTTGAGACATCTACCCTTGCACTTTGCTACTCTGCAGATGAGTACGCATGCTCAGTGTGGAACACATCTCACAACATTAAAACCCTGGATGCGGCTCTTAATGAGACATGCCACATTCTCACAGGATGCCTACGCTCCACACAGCTGGAGAAATTATACTGTTTAACCAGTATCGCAACCCCTGACATCCATCAGGAAGAAGCACCCAGTGATGAAAGGACCAAGACACTGACATCTCTTGCCCATTCTCTGTTCGGATATCGGACAGCAAGACAATGCCTTGAATCAAGAAACAGCTTCCTACGAATGAAAGAGATACTTGCAGGAATATCTCCGCAAGTGAAGGTCCAAAACTCGTAGGCTAAAACCCGGAACCTCAACCAGTGGCTGATACCTGATGAGAAACTCCCCCCTGGACACACAGAAGACTGGGCGATCGGGAAGGTGGGCAACTTGGAAACCACTGAACAGTCTGCACTCTGGCACCACGAGATGCAGAACCAACCTTAAGAAAGGGGCTACAAAGTGGAATCCATGGATATACAAGTGTGGAGAAGAGCAAACCACAGACCACTTACTACAATGCAGTCTGAGCCCTGCCACATGCACAATGGAGAGCCTTCTAACAGCGACACCAGAGGCGCTCCAAGTGGCCAGCTTCTGGTCAAAGGACATTTAGCATCATGCCAAGTTTTAAACTTTGTAGTGTGTTATACATTATAACTGTATTCTCAGTTTGCTTCTGACACGAAAAATAAAATAAATAAATTTCTATATGCGAGATGACGGTGAATTTTATAGGTAAAATTTTATGACTCAAATTATCCAAAGATTAGGAAAGAAAATGGTATGAAAGGGAGGGGGTAGCCCCGCAAAGTGTCCTCTCGTTCCTCATTTGATAGCTTCCGTCGACTCCTTTTATGAACCTCTCTTTTCTTGCAAATGCAGTGCTAAATTCCCCCAATAAAACATATTTAACAGGTGGTCCAATGAAGACACATTTCGCCAATAGGCAGAAAGACAACACTGTTTCTACCAAAGAAAGAAAAGGCACGAGTGAATTATGAGCCAATTAGATTTGGTTGTGCCATATTTTATGATAATATAAAGCCTTCGCTTCAAGGGTGTGATAAATAATGCAGGCAACTGACACTCTTTTCTCTTTGCAAAAGTAAAAGGGAGAAACATTATTATTATCATTATTATTATTATCATTATCATTATTATTTTACTGACACAAAAACACAGTATGTCACAGCAAATGAGATCTAGATGCTGGATTTCGAATCACAAAATCACAAGTCGAACACTTCCCAAGCATCTAGGACTGTGTGATGTATTTTCGAATGATGCGCGCAGATCCAAGTCTGGTGGCCTTTTGCAGTTGGCAGATCGTGATTTTGTCAATGTTTATTGTTTCCAAATGCCGGCTGAGATCTTTAGACACGGCACCCAGTGCGCCAATGACCTCTGGAACTGGTTTATGTCAGAGCCTTTGCAGTTCAATTTTTTTTTCCATTTTAAAGTCTTGATAACGGCTGAGTTTTTCTTGTTATTTTTCCTCAATGTGACTGTCCCCTGGTTTGGTGACATCAATAATTAAAACTTTTTTTCTTTTCCACAATCGTGATGTCTGGTGTATTGTGTTCCAAAACTTTGTCAGTCTGGTTTCAAAAGTCCCACAGTATTTTTGCGTGTTCATTTTCCACTACCTTTGCAGATTTATGATCCCACTAGTTCTTTACTGCTGGCAGGTGGTACTTATTTATTTATTTATTTCAAACATATTTACCCCATCCTTCTCAACCCCTGGGGGGGACTCAGGTTGGCTTACAATTGGCAACAATTCAATGCCACTTAATAAAATACAAATAGCAAAAATAACCATTAAAACCATGAACATTAAATAAAAATCAAACAGTATACTTACGATCCATTTAGCTATTGCCAGTCTGGTGGCTATTTATCTAGCCATATATTAACAATAACTCTGCTTCACTTATCCAAATCCACTTCCAAGCCATAATCAAATATTATCCATTGTCCTTTAACCTGATTGCCCAAAGGTCTGGTCCCACAACCACAATTTTACCTTCTTTCTGAAGGTGAAGAGGGATGACGATGATCTAATTTCCCCAGGAAGGGTTTTCCACAGGTGGGGGGCTACCACCAAAAAGGTCCTATCCCTCATCCCCGCCAAACGTGTTTGAGACAACAGCAGGGCTGAGAGCAGGGCCTCCCCAGAGGATCTTAAGCTCCGAGGTGGGACGTAGAAGGAGATACGTTCAGACAGGTACGCTGGACCGGAGCTGTATAGGGTTTTATAGGTCAAAACGAGCATTGTGCTCAGAATTGGATCAGCAGCTAGTGGAGCTGACACAACAGGGGGGTAGTATGCTCCCTGTATGATGCTCCAGTGAGTAATCTAGTTGCCGCCCGTTGGACTAATTGCAGTTTCCGAACAGTCTTCAAAGGCAACCCCACATAGAGCGTGTTGCAGTAATCTATTCGGGATGTGACAAGAGTGTGGACCACCGTGGACTTGTGACATAAGTTCCAATGAATAATTTGGGCCACATAGTTGTGCCTCTGTTTGTAGTCTGTCTGTGCGATTTTCTTGCATCAGTTGAGGATAGGATTATCACTATTATTATTATTATTATTATTATTATTATTATTATTATTATTTGATACACAGCAAGATGAGTACAAAGCAAACAAGGGCACTATGCTGGCTTTTGTATTTGTTCAGATGTTGGACACTTAAATAAAAGAACATCTTCGTAAGATTGAGAGGGATACTTGCAGGAACACCTCAGCAAGTGAGAGTCCAAAAGTGGCAGGCTGAGACCAGATGAGAAACTCCCTCCTGGGCACACAGAAGACTAGGTGACTTGGAAGACACTGAACAGACTATGCTCTGGCACCACGAGACGCAGAGCCGATCTTAAGAAATAGGGCCACAAAGTGGAGTCCATGACATGCAAGTGTGGAGAAGAGCAAACCACAGACCACAGTTTGAGCCCTGCCACATGCACAATGGAGATCTTCTTACAGCCACACTAGAGGCACTCCAAGTGGCCAGCTTCTGGTCAAAGGACATTTAGTATAATGCCAAGCTTTTCACTTTGTTTATGGTTTCTGTATGCATTATAACTGTATTCTCAATTCGCTTCTGACACGATAAATAAATACATATAAACACACATTCAAATATTAAAACAAACCTGTGCGTCATAAAGACCGCCATATAAACATGGCAGGCACATTTTGCAAACATTCCTCCATAAAAACCAA